CTTAAGCTTTATAAAAAAGCTCACTATTTATGCTAATCTTATATGTATACTAGCTGTCGCCCGCGACTCCGTCTGCGCGGAATTAAAGAAAAACGTAATTAGTAGCCAACATGATCTTTCAGACTATGTTCCATACGTATAAGAAATTTGATCGAGATCCGTTGAGCCGTTCTGGAGATACCTTCAAATAAACAACCATCCATCCAAAGATTCGCATTTATATTAGTAAGATTTAAGGCAACACTTGGATAATTGTATTTTTAACTGAAAACTGGTAAACGAAAAAGCATATGAACAGTTTTTAGATTTATTTTCTTTAATATGCGCAAACGGATAGCTTCGCTTTTACGCAGAGTGCGGGATAGCTCCAACACCATACTAAGAGGCCTTAGCGACAAGCCTGACTGCCCGATAGTGCGACACTGAGTACGTGCACACGTCGTATATTTACCGACGTAATATTTTTTCTAATATGTGTTACCTACTGTTACATGAAATAAATAAATAAAAATAAATATAGATATAGTTTAATTAATATAGAAGGTTCATGACATGGCATAGTGTAAGAGTTTAGTAAGTAATTTATTCAAGACATGGCAGTGAGGCAGCGCGGGTAACGAACGTGATTTGCATTTAAATGACCCACCACTGAACTGACGGAATAAAGAAATATTATATCAAGTAAACACTAAGTAGTAATGTCGCAAAACAATATCGCGATTAAATACGACTTGGTTTGGAATTTAAAATTTTATTTACATTTTTAGTCTCGATTCTTTCTTTATTTCTAAATAGATGTCGCCCGCATCTCCGTTCTCGCGGAGTTTTAAAAAAAATAGTAGCTCATGTGTTAAATCATTCAAACTTTCGTGAGACATTATACTAAACTGATATAAAAACGGCTAAACACTCACGTATATTTGTCCGGTGGCGGCACCGACTAGTTTCGAGCCCATCGGGGGCCCTTCATCAGGATGAGTGTTACTAGTATTATTTCGCGGACGCGGGCGTGAACGATAGGCTCGAAACTATTCGGTTCCGCCACCGGTCGAATATATGTGAGTGTTTAGCCGTTTTTATATCAGCTTATGTGTTCTTCCAGACTATGTTCTATATGTGTGTCAAATTTCATCGTGATCTGTCAAGCCGTTCTGGAAATACCTTCAAAGTAACATCCATCCATCCATCTAAACATTCGTATTTATTATACGATTTCTTCTTGCATTCCGATAACTTCGTTTAAACGGTTTACCGTTCTCTCGTAAGATAACATCAATTATATCCGTGAATAAATATGGTAAAATTTTATTTCAGTTTTAGTAAATATTATTGTCTAGGAATCCATTAGTAGATAAAATCTTTCACAAAAATATTATTCAAACATAATAGTGGGGTGTATAAGGATAATATGAAGAATCGATAGTTTGAAATAAGAAAAAAATATTTTTCTACTTTGTTCCTTTTCATATCAAACCTTTTTCGGCAAATTTGACCTTATATAGCAAAGGGTCGGTAAGAAGTTTTTATTATTGAGAATATGGTGATTGTTGCGTTAAAAAATTAACATTTTCTGAGTACTTTAAGACCATAAAGTGTATTGCGATTATCTGTATTTTTAACTTATACTAATATTATAAAGAGGAAAGGTAACTGTTAACTGCTTGTTTGCATTGTATGGCGCCAAACTTAAGCACGAATAAAATCACGGACAACTACTAGTGTTTTCTAAGATTGATATTCAGTATTATCACGGTACAGTCAGTCGGTATTTTTGTATTTTTTAATTAATTATTTTTTATTAACATCACATAGTAAAACACCAACCGCGGGTTTGGTAAGAGATGACGATATGTTTTATCCAGAAATGTCGGTCTCAGAAACCCACGGTAGATAACATAGTGACACATTTATCAAAGTGATGAATATTCCATATTTGAACTTATTCGCCACACGTCTGAAAGGGATGACAAACATGAGGTAAGTGTAAACTACAGAATTTACTTACTCATCTTTACTCTGAAGGAATTTATTAGTAGGCAAAACCCGAATCCCTAGATGTCTTATCATTTGTACCAATATGAAATTCGAATCAATATTTACTTCGTAAGTCTTTCACTGAGTTTTTGGAGACTTTAACTTAATCAAATTAAGAATTATATTTTTTGTTTTAAGTTGTTATCTTTTATATGTTTTCTTATTCCATCTATAAGTAATACTTTTAAAGAAGGTGCACGTTTTACATGAGGCTGAAAAATGTATATAATAATTGTTTAACAGTGGTAGAGCCCGCTTTAACATCTTCGCATGAATTGTCCCGGCTCGCCCGGTGAAATACCACGACCATACAAAAGACAGGCGTGAAGTGGAAGCAATTCCGCGTTTCGTCTGACGAGTGTGCATCCCGGAGGCCTAATTTAGTCCTCTTTCCCACCCTTTTTCTTATAAGGAAAGGATGGGAAATGTAAGTGGAGTTTCCGGTTGAGAGGATCCATGGAAAGGGAAAATATTTTTCTTACTTCGCTATTTCAGCGATTTTAGTTGACCGCTCGCTCGTTTGCCACCTTATGATATAAAAAAATATATACAAACCATAGTCGTAGGCGTATTTTATTCAAGAATCGCTGTCAACGGGGATCTCTATAATTACGTAAATGATTTTGCAGGAACTACTTGACCTGAGTTAAAAGATATATATGAATTGCCTACAATATATTTAGTTAACTAATGCCTCCGTACGAAGTCACGACGCTAGTAGTCTTAAATTTAAAAGACCACAAACTGGAGCTAACAAACGAAGGAAACGACTCAAAGTTTTAGTGTGATGATTATGTAAATCCGTTCTCAAGATACAACAAGGTACGACGAGGAAGTTTCAGGTGTTCGTTGATTATTCAAGCTTCAAGCTGTTACTAAACATTGCGCCTGAATTAACAAGCACGTCGCGTTTATATTATTCCAGTTATTTAAACACGCAACTAATGTTTTTTTCGGTTTGGATTGTTTAAACATCACTATAAAATGTATTTATTTATTTAAAGGTAAAAAAGTCGGTATCTACCTTTACATTTTTCAATTTTCTTTTTATGATAATAACTATAAATTAATTATAATATTAACTATTGATGCAGGAGAAATATTAATTGAATCTTTATAACGCAATGCATTGCACCATATCAATAAAAATTATCTCAATTTACTAAGAGATATAAAATTTATTTATATTTATGCAGTGAAATATATAAAGTGGGTCAGTAAAATTAATAAAGCTTCAATGCCTTTAATCTTAATTTGAAGGCGTACATTTAATTAGAAGTCTCGATCTGCTGGCGGCAGGCGTGACGGGAAATCTTTAGTAGTGTCGATTTAACGCATTTACTCTACAGAATCCTATGTGACGTAGCTTCTAGAATTCGTACAATTTTCTAAGATAAAAATAACGAAATGTTTTCAACAATAAATATAGAGTTAGTGCGTTATTCCTATTCAATTGTTTATCTTTATAGAACGTAGTTATCAATATTTTCATGAAATACCACCTGTCGCCCGTGACTCCGTCCGTGCGGAAAAGAAAACATTAGTTGTCTATTTTATCTTCCAGACTATGTTCTACATATAAGCCTTATAATTCGCATTTATAATATTAGTAAGAAATCCGTCATATGAATCTCGGTAATCAGTTGCTTTAATAAAACAATTTTGACTATGGATATTTCATAAAGTATCCAAAGATTTAATTTACAAAGTTTACGTGTGCAATCAACATATGTTATGACAACTATTTCGTTAGTAAACGTGCAAAGGTATACTAATAAAAGTAACCATACACAACCAAACATAGATGAACTTTGTTCAAACGACACACTCAAAGGGAAGTGAGTAATTGTTTGGTGTAAAGCTCTGCTACGTCCGTAACTCTAGCTACAGTGCTACGAAGATAATAATGTTAAAAAAAATATGCAAAGCACTGCAAGTTTTACGTGGTACATTTTTATATATAAAGTGTGAAGGAATATGTATTTTTTTTAATTTCGCTATTGTAATCAATTATGAGATTTAACATAATTATTAAATTTGGATTCAGTGAAGTTTTAGTGACTTGTTATCTTTCCTCTAGCTCCGTGTTATTAATACGGGGTTAGAGAAAAGATGTAGATACTTTATAACTTGTGACTCGGGTTTCCTTCAAAGGAATTGCTTTTGAACAAGTTTCAAAAGTTCACCACAAGTTAGCCTGGATGAGTTATTTGGTAGCTTAAAGCTTGTAAAACAACACTTCCTCTTATGAAATATTAATCAAATTACACTGAAGTTAACGTATATTCATATAGCAACTTCAGCTCAAAGTGTTGATATTTAGTAACCTTTAATCTTCCTACTTAATAACAATAATCTTGAAACATTGATAGAAATCAGGTATAAATAAAATATAATATATAAATTTATAGTACAGTTGTTCAAATACATAGACGAACATGTGGAGTAGAGACTACATTGGAACAAACAAAAGAAAATATCGTAGTAACATATAGTGTGGTTTACAGTGCACTCAGTCACAACGGCATTTTCAAAGGAAAATAAATGTTTGTAGCAAATATACACATCTTTACAGATAAATCGTTGTCCATTTGCTACGGCGTAGACGCTCGTAGCGGGAAAGTGTAGAAGCTACAGCTTAGAGCTTTTAGTGCAAATACGGCTTTGTTTCGAAGGGAAATTAAAAAACTCTTCAGATTTTGCAGCGGAAACATAAAACTACAAAAACTGTGATGGTTTAAGTGTACGCCAAAACAGTAATCTTTATTTGTGTGTTTGTTTTGAATTCAAAAAGTTACTCTTTTGGAAAAAAGTACATTTTTGTAAAACGTATTTTTGTGAAGTGTTTTATCTATTTGAAAACTATAATAAGTTAAGCTAAGTTTAGGCTAAGTTTACGTATCCGGAATATACTTTATTTACTAATGATTAAGACACATGTGAATAAATTTGAAATGAGCACGTACCTCTCCCAGCTTAACCTTCTTGGGGCATCGGCGGCGACCTCTTCAGGGGCTCCTCGCACGCCCTGTGTCAGCAGGCGCGCGAGCCTCGAGCCTGCACTTACTGTGCTGCTGCTTGACACAGAGCCACGCGGAGTTGGCACTCTGCAATAAAGAAATATATTACTTATATTAAATCGTAAATATGATCATACTAATATTATTGCGAATATTTGGATGGATGGATGGATGTTTGTTTGAAGGTATCTTTAGAACGGCTGCATGGACAGAGTCGTTGGCGACATTTAGTAAATTATAGAACTAAAGTCTTATAGAACGAGGAGAAAATTATATTCAAATGGGTATATCTTTACATATATAATTCTTGTGTGAGTGTGTATGTCACTGAACTTCTCTCAAACGACTGGACCGATTTTGATGAAATATTTTGAGTGTGTTCAAGGGGATCTGGGAATGGTTTAGATTCACAATTTTCAATTTTTAACTTCATATTAATATATTCAAATTAAAGAAGTGTAGACAGGACAACGTCTGTCGGGTCCGCTAGTTTATTTATAAACCTAGACTTAAGTAGTAGTAATATGTGAGTAGATTTCTAAAACTTTGACTAGAACTTATGTTTGTTTTCCAAAAAATATAGACATGGTAATTGAATCTACATCCTTGGCTTTTGAATACCAAGATCATAGTGAGTTTAACTTGCTCTCCATTGGTATTAGGTATTTATCAATTATAACAATAATTTTTTTCTTTCTTTTATTCTAAAGAGCTGGAAAACAGAGAGATTTTAAAATAAATAAGTATTAAAAGTTTTATATATTACAATTCTCAATAAACTTTGTCAATTTGTCGTCGATGTTATAAAGATTGCGGTGGGTTGAAAACGAGCTTAAGAGTTAAACGGTAACGGAACAGCAGAGCGGCTCTTTTGCAATATATTGCAAAGTTGTCGACTTAAAGTTTCTAACAACCACTATTTGTTGTCTAGATCAGAGCTAACTGAGAAAATTGTTCAAGCAAAACTATCAAGTAACTTTGTTTAAGAAAATTCATGCATTTAAATGGTCGCAAACTTCATTATGTGTGACGATAAAAGTTTGTATTTTGAAAATGTGATGTAGAAAATAAATAGAAACACAATGAAGGTATTCAACTACAAACTTGATCAAGCATTTAGACTAGAAATAATTGTTTATTTAATTTGGCATGAATATTAAAGGAAATATATATCTAATGTCTTACGATTTTTACCATTGTCAACTTATATTAGGTATAGTGTGTTTCTAAAGAAGATTTTATACAATTCATAAAATTCTCGATAGTTAAGTGGTCAATGACCTTTGAAAACGAGAAAAATTTGGTCTATTGAACAATAATTCAGCAGCTATAAAGTTCCTAGTCGTTCCTTCGGCATACTCGTAAAATGCTTTTAAAGGTTACGCCGCTTACAATTCGATATAAAGCCTACCTTATTAGATTCCTGAACGAAAATCGATCTTAAACAGTAGCTTTTACTATCGAATGTCTTTACAATACTAACCGTGGCTTTCTGAGAACAAAATCCCCGTTTAAAATATATACTTATCTCTGTTTTGTCAAAGATAAATGACAGGGATGACGACGTGCTTTATAAAAATAATTAAACCTCAGAAACCAACGATAAATCAGCTTTAAATAAATTAAATATACCACGGTGACCGTCTTAGCGCAATCTAGATAAATATTGATTATTACTATTAAAATTATAGCTATAAAATGGTAGTCAAGTGTTATCTGTTTGCTCAAAATACTGATAAAAAACACAGTAACAGTGGTAGAGCCCGCTTTAACATCTTCGCACGAATTGGCCCGGTTCGCCCAGTGAAATGCCACGACCACACAGAAGACAGGCATGAAGTGGAAGCAATTCCGCGTTTCGTCTGATGAGTGTGCGTCCCGGATTCCTAATTTAGTCCTCTTTCCCTTCCCTTTTTTCTTACAAGTAAAGGATGGGAAGTGGAAGTGGACATTCCGGATGAGAGGATGCATGGAAAGGGATTTTTTTTTCTTTCTGTGCATCCTCTTCCCTGTTGAATAAAGTTAGGCAACGCATATGCAATTGCGTATATCTATGGGCAACGGTGACTTCGCTATATCAGCGATTTCAGGTGGCCGCTCGCTCGTTTGCCACCTTATCATATAAAAAAAACAGAAAGTATCATATGAATATTTAAGTATAAAGTTTATACTTAAGTTAACTTTGGTTTAGTATTGTTATTCAATAAATTGATTTACTCATAGACATTCAATTTGTCTGCGGAACAACAAGTTTGCGACATTGATGGAGACAAATGATAAACTTCGCTATGAATTCTTAATTACGTTTAAGTAATTTGGCACAACTTGAAGTTGTAACTTAGAAATAAATTAACCTTAAATCTTATAATGTTGTATACATTAATTACGTGTTGTTTTACCAACTTTTTGACCTTAAAATACATCAGAGGGAAGACTCTGGAGATATGAAATGAAATTTAGACTACCTCCTCCCCCTTATACTTAAAATTACGTATATTTTTTTGTATAAAATAATAAAGAAATTGACAAAATAATGAATACATTTGATATCTTATTAAAGCCCTTCTCGTTATATTTCTAGATTTTTAAACAAATATACGTGTGATAATAACCATCGACATATCTTTTTTTTTAAAGCTACATTAAGTAGGTTGATAGACAGCCGAAAACCCTTTAAACAATGAATGAAATTATTCAGATGGAAACCCTCTAATTTAATAAAAAACGGGTCTCACAATACAAAACACCCGCTTCGTCCTGTGTGTGACATAAAGGGACGGCTTATAGAATTTAGGAACCCTTTGTCAATTAATTTTGACCGGTCACTTCGTATGACATGTTCATGTGATACAATGACAGTGTGAAAGTTTCTAATAAATATTTGTCGAGTTGAAAATTTCGATTGTGGCGAAAGTTTCTAGTTATATTTTGAGAAGAGAAAGTTATTAATAATTTCCAATATACTTATATATATATAAATTAATATTCAAGAATAGATCAGCTTGCTCTGTGCAATACCACGACTACGCGGAAGACAGGCGACAACTGGAAGCAATTCCACGTACATTTTAACCTCTCCTCTCTACCACCCTTCCTGCCGTTTTCTTATAAGGATATGAATACGCTATTTCGGTGAATTTATTTTAAATATAGCGAATTGTCCGCTTGCTCGCTTGCTACCTTATAATATAAAAAAAGATAATGCAAAAAATAATTCAATTGAGGTTAGATCATTTTGCATTTGTATAAAGAATCACTTGTTTTGAAACAATAACATTCTAGAATTTTAAAATTGGAATACAACGAAAAATAAAAAGTAACAACGTAAGTTATCGAACAATTGAATACTAAAACTTTTTACTGCGGAACTTTGTCGCCAGCTTTCGCGAAAAGTAAAAGATTGTTAAATACTCGAAAAGTTTTTATTTAAAATTACATGTTTCGGCTTTAATCGTAAAAGAAGTTAAAGTTAGCTTATTTAAAGAAGTTTTTTTATGGTAAAAGGACAACATTTTTAATAATTTTCTTTTTTGATACAGCTTTAATATTTTTTATATTTATTTAAATACCTCTACGATAGTTAAAACGATAGGAAGCATGTAAAAGAGGATATGCGTAAGAAAGCGGTAGATTCAGGTGACATTTGATAGAGATGTATGGAGGAGTAGTACATACTGTGCTCTCCTTAGGAATAAGGGCATGATGATAATGACATAATACGAAGCCTAGAAAGGCCTTAACTCATCTACTAATTATAAAAGTTAGCCATACATAAACAAACACATATTTATCTAGTTTTTTACTATGAGATTAAAAAGAGATGACTATATAATTTGTGTAGTTCTATCGACAGTGGAAATACACGACGATAAAAACAAACATATTCAAAAGTCGCCTTCTAAGGCTGAAAAGGCTATTCGTTATAGCAAGAAATATGCCCCAATTAATCTTAAGAATTCTAGATGAAATGTTAATTGAAATTATATTAAGAAAGAAACAATTTAAATCTTATTAAAAGTAATTTTAAGCAGAACTAACGAAGGCAGATGTAATAAATTATCACTTAATGACCTTGAGAAGCATTTAATTAAAATAGCGATTATTTTAAACAACGTATTGTAGTCGTTTGTTAAAATTATTCAAAGCAAACATTAAGAGAAAATGTTATTCTATTTTATCTTAAACTATTTGTTGCAAGAATCCGACCGCACAAAATTAAAAAAAAACTTAATTAGTAGCTTAAGTGTTCTTCCAGACTATGTTCTATATTAGTGCGAAATTTCATCAAGATCCGTTGTGCCGTTTCGGAGATACCTTCTAACAAACATCCATCCATCTAAAATTGCGCATTGGTAATATTAGTGAGATTGTAAATTTGTAAGAAAAATGCTATTTGTGATTCAATTCTAATCCTATTTAGTTTTAATCATTTTAATTAATTTAACATTACCAAATGTCACCCGAAGGTGTCCTAAAAGAAAATAATAAGTAAGAAATAAAACAAAGTACATTATGAAAAGTTAATCTTCAAAGCACTCTACTAAATAAAAAAAATATTTGGTATCGTAATATTGACACGAAACGAAATGACTGAAGAGCAATTAAGTTCATTTAGAAGCACTTCAGGACATCAAAGTGAATTTAAAAGTGGACGGTTTTGTATAGCGTTATATTTTATAGTCCTTTAAAAAGAGAATAATATATTTTTTTATTTTAAATATTAGTAGGTTATTATTTTTATACTGTGGCTCACGTTTAGTTGTTAATAATCTGTGGGATTGTGATTTCTTCGACCGAGCTGTCACATTTTAAGCTCTAATTGGTTCTGGATCATAGCGCATGTAGGTCGGTTTCTAAATTTCCTATGAACGCTAGCAACTCCATAAATATTATAAAATATTTAACATAAATATTAATAAGCCACCGTTATAAACACAAACATGAATATTATATTAATCCACTGTATATTGTTTTTTATCTTTACATGAACCTCTTTAGTGCAGTATTACGTACTCTTTGGTGGACAAAGAATAAACAGTCTGTCTAAGAGATGGCATACTGGCCACTGAGAACCTTTGCTTAGTTTA